GGATATATACCTAGTAATGGAATGGCTGGGTCAAATGGTATTTCTAATTCCAACTTTTTAAGGAATTGCCATACTGCTTTCCACAGTGGTTGTACATTTTAACAGTCCCACCAGCAGTGTATGAGAGTCCCAATCTCTCCACATCCTTGCCAGCTTTTGTTATTTTCTGTCTTGTTGAACTTTGCTGTTAGTGCTGGGGTGAGATGGTGTCTCGTTGTTTTGATTTGCATCTCTCTGATGGCTCATGATAGTGAACATTTCTTCATGTATTTGCTGGCTGCCTAAATATCCTCTTTGGTGAAGTGTCATGCACCTGTTTTTTAATTGGGTTGTCTGTTGTTGAGTTGTTGAAGTTTTCTGTGTGTTTTAGAGATTAGACTCTTATCAGATGTATCATTCCTGAGGATTTTTTCCCTGGTTGTTTATTTACCCTTTTGATATAGTCTGTTGGTGATCTTAAGTGCTTAATTTTTATGAAGTCGCAGTTATCTATTTTGTCTTCTGCTGCTTTGATTTTGTAGTTGTATATGATAATCTACCATTAAAAAAACTAGGTCTCATACTTTTGCCCATAGGTGTTCTTCCAAGAACTTTATTTATGGTTCTGACTTTAACGTTTAGATCATTGATCCATTTTGAATTAGTTTTTGTGTATGGTGTGAGGTATGGTTCCTGTTTTGTTTTTCTGCATATGGTTACCCATTTTTACCAGTACCATTTCTTGAAAACTGTTCCTTCCCCATGGAATAGATCTTGGCCTTTGTTGAAAATCAGTTGCCCATAAATGGACAGATTTATTTCTGGGTTCTCAGTTCTGTTCCACTTGTCTGTGTGTCTGTTCTTGAACCAGTACCAGGCCATTCTTATTACTTTAGCTATATAGTATGTTTGGAAGTTGGGAAACATGAAGCCTTCTCCTTTGTTCTTTTTCTTCAGTATTGCTTTGGCTATTCAAGGTAGACGTTACATAGTTTTGCACCTTACTTAGCTCTTTGACCCATTTTGAGTTAATTTTTGTGAAAGATTTAAGGACTGTGTCTAGGCTTATGTTTTTGCATGTAGAGGTCTAATTGTTCTAGTTTCATTTGCTAATGAGACTACCCTTTCTCATTGAATTGCCTTTTCTCCTTTTTATTTTTCTTAGCAATAAATTTTATGATTTATTTAGTTCTTTCTTTTTACACAGGAAGAAGAGAATTTATCCAAAGATTAAAACTTGAAGCAACTCTGAATGTGCATGATGGCTGTGTAAGTAATAGTTAATTCTCAACTATGAAGCATTTTAATAGTAAGTGTTTTAATGTCTGATGAAATGCCTGAATTCTCCCAGAAGAGATTGTGACTAACTGTAATAACATGGGACAATAAAATTTTACATTAAAACATAAAAATAATATTTTGAAATTAGAAGAGTCTATGGGAGATTTTTTCAGAAATGAAGATGAGTATGTTCTAATATCAAAAGGCTTCCATTTCTTTCATTTTACTGAAACTTTTTGTCAAGATTACTAGTGACCTTCATAACTCTAAATCTAGTAGTTGCTTTTCTGAAACTTTATATGTTGATTGAGCACATCCTCTTTTTCTGTTGGTTTTTGCTAATACCATTCTCTTATTTTTCTTTCTATCTCACTAGCTAACTGTATCTTCTCTGTCTTCTTAACCTACTCATCTGCTTCTTGCCCTTCAAAAAACAATTCTGTCCTGACATCTCCCACCTCCTTCCTTCTCCATCTCTATGTGACCCTATCAAGTCCGTGGCTTTAAAAACCATGATAACTACCTCTTCCTGGAAATCCAGGTTCATATACTGAAATGTCTACTTACATTTCTACTTGCATATCTACTATTGTTGTTGTTGTTGTTAGGTGCCATCGAGTTGGCTCCAACTCATAACAACCCTAGGTACAATAGAACGAAACACTGCCTGGTCCAGCACCAGCCCCACAATCCTTGTTATACCTGAGCCTATCATTGCAGCCACTGTGTCAATTCATCTCGTTGAGGGTCTTCCCCTTTTTCATTGACCCTCCACTTTACTAAGCATGATATTCTTTTCCAAGGAATGGTCTCTTCTGACAACATGACCAAAGTAGGTGAGATGTTTTCTGGCCATTCTCGCTTCCAAGAAGTATTCTGGCTGCACTTCTTCCAGGACAGATTTGTTAGTTCTTCTGGCAGGCCATGGTACTTTCAGTATTCTTCATCAACTCTACAACTCAAAATCATCAACTCTTTTTCAGTCTTCCTTATTCATTGTCTAGCTTTTCCATGTGTATGAGGCGATTGAAAATGCCATGGCTTGGAATAGATGCACCTTAGTTTTCAAAGAGATATCTTTGCTCTTCAGCACTTGAAATGGGTCTTTTGCAGCAGAATTGTGCAGTGCAATACGTTGTCTGATTTCTTGACTGTTGCTTCCATTGGTGTAATATGAATTCTTTGACAACTTCAGTCTTTTCTCCATTTATCGTGATGCTGCTTATTGGTCTAGTGATGAGTATTATTGTTATCTTTATGTTGAGGTGTAATCTGTACTGCAGACTGTAGTCTTTTATCGTCATCAGTAAGTGCTTCAAGTCCTCTTCACTTTCAGCAAGCAAGGTTGTGTCATCTACATATCACAGGTTGTTAATGAGTGTTCCCCCAATCCTGATGTCACGCTCTTCTTCATATCTACTATTTGCATATCTACTAGGCACCCAAAATTTAACAGTGCCGAACAAGAATTTTCACTTTGGAAAATTTCAAACATACTTCTCATATACTCATCACCTGGATTTAATAATTATCAAGATTAGCCCTATTTTCTTTTTCTGTGATTTTTTTTTTTTTTTTTCTCATTCCTCTAATGTTGTACAAACCCAGGTGTCATCATTTCACCTGTATATGTAAGCCTAGGAACTATGGGCATTTTCTTATGTAACAAAAATGCTATTACATAATCTAGAACAAGATTAATAGTTTTTTTTTTTTTTTTTTCTGTTTTGGTATCATTTAATGTACAGTCCATAATCAAATGTCCCTGATTATTTAAAAATTGACTTTTTATTGTTGTTTGTTCAAAAGTGGATCTAAGCAAAATCTATACATTAATTGTTGTGCTTCTTAAATCTTTTTTAATCTAGAGCAGTCTTCCCCATTTCTGTACCCTGCCATTGTTGTTATAAAAACTTTATCAGTTTTCCTATGAAAGGTCAAACATTTTAGATTTCTTCGCTTATTTAAATCTTGAGGGTCGTTTAACTTGTTTCTATAAATTTTGCATTTTCTGTAACTGGAAGTTGTTTCTAAGGCTTAATTAGATTCAGATACCCCTTTTTTAGTAGGGGTACTTATAAGTGATACTATGTGCTTCGTATTAGATCTCAGTGTCTGGTTATCCTACTTTTAATATAATGATATAATTATAAATACTTTATTTTTCTCGCATAAATCTGCAACCTTCTACATTTATGAATGGCACCACCATTCATCCAACTGTTTAATCTGAAAATTTCAAGTAATCCTTGGTCCTTCTCTATGCATCAAGTTGCACATAAAATATATTTACAAATTGACCCTACTTTTAGAATATATCTGGAATCCGTTCACTTCTTTCTGTCTCTTTGCTACCACCACCTTCTCTTTCTAGGACTACTTACTACTCAAAACTCAATGCTGTCGAGTCAGATCCAACTCATAGAGACCCCTCCTTGGGTTTCTGAAGCAGTTATCTTTACAGAAGTAGATAGCCCAGCCTTCTTACAGTGTCTTCTTACTTGATCACTTTGATTTCATTTGTGTTTCCTTATAACTCATTCAACACACAGATGGAATGCATACAAATCTAGTCATGTTAATTCTTTTATATTATTTTCTCCTTTTTCCCCTAGGGTTGTACGACTTATTGTATGATTGACAAAGGCAGGAGGAAAGAGAAACATGTTTACTTTACTGAAACAAACCCTATGATCTGAGCTTTCTAGGCTGGTTATTGATATGGACAAGTGAGGACTAGTGCTTTCTGAAAATCAAGGTATATTCAATTACATCCTTTAAGGTATTGTTCCTGTTATATTGGGATTTCAATATATTTCATTACAGAAGGTGATCTAACATTGTACTTTTAAGCTATCTTTTGAGAAATGGAGATACCACAAACAAATAAACTTCTGTACCACTATGGTGGAAAACAGTATTATGCTTCCTAAAAAAGCTAGAAATAGAAATTCCGTGCAACCCAGCACAATACCACTCCTAGGGATAAATCCTAGAAAAATAAGAGCTGTTCCATGAATAGATATGCAAACCTATGTTCATCACAGCATTATTCTCAATAGCAGAAAGATGGAAATAACCTAAGTCCATTGATGTATGATTAGGTAAACAAACTGTGGTATATAAACACAATGGAATTAAAGAATAACAAAGGATCTGCAAAACACCTCATAACATGGATGAGCCTAGAGGACAGTATGCTGAGTGAAGTAAGTCAATTACAAAAGGACAAATACTGTATGAGACACTGTTATAAAAAGTCAAGAGTAGGTTTACACACAGAAAAAAAAAAAACATTCTTTGATGGGTACCAGGGATGGGAGGGTCAGGGAGGGAAAATCACTAACTAGATACTACACAAATATTAATTATAGTGAAGGGAAAGGCAATGCACTATGAGGGAAGTCAGTACAATGTGACAAAGGCAAAGGAAGACACTGAGAGGTAAAACCAAACAAACAAACAAAAACAAACTCATTGCTGTCGAGTTGTTTCTGACTCATAGCAGCCCCTCCTTGGGTTTCCAAGACAGTATCTCTACTGAAGTAGATTTCCCAGTCTTCCTTCCTAAGAATGGCTCATGATTTTGAACTGCCAGCTTTCTGGTTAACAGTCACATGCCTTAGGCACTATACCACCAAAGCTCCCAATAATGCAAGACTAAAGGACAATCATGATAAATGTTATAACATATACTTTCTTATACCAACAATAATTGTTATTATGTGTCGTCGAGTCAGACCCGACTCATAGCGACCTTCTTTGGGTTTCCGAGGCGGTATCACTATGGAAGTAGATTGCCCAGCCTTCCTTCTGAGGAGTGGCTGGTGGGTTTGAACCACCATACTTCTGGTTAGCAGTCAAGTGCCTTAGGCACTATGCTACCAGAGCTCCCACCAACAATAATAGCAAACAATAATTTGTGAGTGGCTATGTAGATAAATATGAGTTGGGTAGTTGTATGGGAGTATACTGCATACAAACATATGTATGATTGTGGATATTTTTATGTACAAATTTGTAAATGCTGCATAAATAGCACATATGGGACACAATAATGGAAACCACTTAGACATTAGGACTGAACTTGAAGGCTAAGGATGTACTAGTCTTGAAGGCTAAGAACCATAGTCTTGGGGACATGTAGTTCAGTTGGCAAAATACAGTTCATAAATAAAATGTTCTACATCCTAGTCTAGTAAGTAGCAGCTGGAGTCTTAAAAGTTGATTAGCAGCCACCTAAGAAACCCTATTAGTGTCTTCCCACCTGGAGCAGAGGAAAACGATGAGAACCAAAGACTCAAGGAAGCAATTAGTCCTAAGGACTAATGGTCCACATGAACCACAGTCTCCTCTAACTTGTGACCAGAAGAACTAGATAGTGCCCAGTTGCAACTACCTTGACCAGTGTGATCAGGACTGCAATAAAAGATCCCAGTTAGAATGGATGAAAAATGAAGAATAAAATCCAAATTAAGAAGACTGGAATTACTGGTCTGAAAGAGACTAGAATAACTCCCAAGACAGTTGCCCTAAGACAACCTTCTAACTTAAACCTGAAGACACTTCCAGAGGCCACCTTTCAGCCAGTTAATAGACGGGCTTGTAATGTAAACAGTAACACCCAGGAAGGATGTATTCTTAAACCAATCTACTATACTAGACCAAAAGGGAAACATGTACCGAAAACCAAAGATGAGAAGACAGGAAGGCACAGGGAAGCTGGACAGGTGGAAATGGGGAATTCAGGGAGGAAAAGGGGAGAATGCTTGACACATTGTGGGGATTGCAACCAATGTCACTGAAAAATTTGTGCATAAATTATTGCTTGAAGAACTAATTTGCTATGTAAACTTTCGCCTAAAACACAATAAAATGTTTAAAAAAAAAAATCTGGTTTAAGGCCAAGGAATCTGTATTTTAATATTCTAGGCAATTCTGTTCTAGGTGAGCCATGGGCTGTACTTTGGAAAATACTGTTATCCCTA